TTCAAGGACAGGTACAGCCATAGCCACTATGAAGTAAGCATCCCTACCACTCCCGAAATGGATTAAAAGTTGTCTCAGATGTCCAGGCAGTCCAGGGAACAATTTAAACATTAACTCAGTTTTGTGAAATCAGATTAATTGTTGCTAAGTGCATTATTTCATGACAACATACTTCAACAAGTTAGGTATACATATACGTTGTAAAATTACAAAGCAAAACACTAAATTTAGGTTGTAAAACACTAAAATACTTACTTACTTACCTTTCGGTCTCAAAACGTTCTCCTCTTTGCTGCTTTAAAAATTTGAGCTTGTGTTTACTACACACCGAAGTTCCTTGTCTTCTCCAGTGTGATAAAAAAGGTCACGCAAGCAAGAAAAGGCTTGGGCACAAATTCGGTAGGCTTGGTTACTGAGTTGAGCCTGGTTTCTAAGGCTCCTTCAAAAAGTGATCCCCAAAAAATTTTTGCTGGCGTTCTCACAAGATCCTTGAGAGTACAACGTAGTTCTCAGGGTTTTTCTCTCTTCCCCCCCTAAAGAAATACGAGAGAAGACCCTGGGAACGAGGTTGTGTTTAAGCGTATTTCTCGCGCGCCCGGAAACCGTCACGTAAAGCACCCGAAGAAGGTTTCGGTTTTACTGGAACACACAAAAAATTTCGCACCCTAGAAAAACTCGTAATTTTTTTTTCCCGAAAACTGTTAACGCATGTCTTGATCTGAGATGTATCTGCCGTCGGGGCTGTCTGAATCATACCAGTACAATCGAGAAGATACAAGACGATACATGGTAAGAACATCGATGGGGAATATAAAAAAAAACCACATTTTTGAAAGACAGTGGTCATCAGATGAGGGACTTTCATAGTCGGTGGCTTGATTTGAGAAAAAACTTTAGCGTGACATGTGGCGCGAATTTCCTCAGAGCGTGAAGACGTAGGTGAGCATATTGAATTAAATAAACAATTGCAATATCCTCCATTTAGCGCGAAAATAGACACTGATACTTTTCGCGGACGTTATCTGTTCTGACAAGCGAACAGTTTTTCGAGATCAAAGCTCCAGGGACCAGTTGTTCGAAGGCCGATTAGCACTAGCCTGGGGTTAAATATTAATCCAGCTTTCTTTATTTCTTTGTTCAAAAATCCTTTTTAAGGAAAAATCTTCCCTATTACTTTTAGGGAATCCAATGATGAAATTGCAAGCAAAAATATTTGGACTGAACTTTCCTCTTAAAGCTTTCAGACCTAAAATCAAATTTCACACTAACCCTGGGTTATCTTAACCCAGCTTTGAACAACCCGGGTCAGAAAAATTGTAAGCTGTGAGGGATTAGGACTTCTCCGAATACAAAACAAACACTTATACGCATCCTTTATCAGGTCTGTAGCTGACCAATTATGATGCAGGAAATCCCCATTTATTGCAACGCAGAACTAGTTTGTATCCATACCTTTCACGGCTAAGCGGTTGTAGTTTACAGTTACACAGTAGGATCTAGGTACGAGATTAACAACAGCATTGACTCTATTGAGCGACTTTCGATTGAAATAAATGTAAGCTTCTGTTCCATTGGGGGACCACATCGCAAAAGAACTTCGCGTAGTTTTCCCTGATCAAGTTTAAAATCAAAATTACCTCGTTCATGCAAACCTTACATCCTTGCAGTAAAAACAGTGATACCGCGCTGAAAAATTTAATTTTAGGCTACCATGAGAGGATATTCTGAAATAGCAAACTTCCTAAAGGTTGTTGGAGTCATCATTGTTGGAAAATTGATCCCAATCAGAATATCAAGAATTGCCATGTCGTCACAAGAATATAATCAATCCATAAATGTAATTACACAGTACTATATACTGCACAAAATAATATTTACAAATGTAAATTACATTACAATATCCTGACTCAACACATTGAGACGACGTCCGTGCAGTCGGAACTTAAGGTGTCGGGGGGGAAAAAGACGGTACTCTATTTGCAAGGCGAAAGCAAGGATGAAAAAGCTGAGCAGCGGGGAATTTCGGTTTATTCTTCTGCCGACTCAGTGTTTGTATCTGTTGCAGGTTCGAGATTTCTATTACTTTCCAGTCATCTAGCGTGGAAGAAAATTTAGATCTCTTGATTTTCTGATTTTTTATTATTACTGATTGGAAAACCTCTTGAATTGCTTCCTTACTCGGCTAAAAGATAAATTAATTATTTCCGTGTCGTATTTATTTACTGGTTATTCGCAGACTGAGCAAACCACAAAATTAATGAAAACACTAAACATTCAAAGAGGAAAGAAAAATATAAAAAAAATAAGTAGTATAAATAAAAAAGGTAAAACTGAAAATTTTGAAGCGTAAAAAAAACATGACACAAGAATTATAGAGTAATTACTTTCTTTTTCCGTTTCTGTAGAAATCTTTGATAATAACATATTTATATTTCGAAAATCTGAAATAAAGAGAATTTGAACAGCTTTGTACTTCCACGCACTTTAACATACATGCCTTTACACATCACGACAAATGGAGTAGAACACAATCAGCCATATTCATGTTCCATCATCCCGAGAGTATTTGTACAGCTTGGCGCTTCCACGCACTTCAGCATCGATTTCATTCTCACGTCTGCGATGACTACCCCTACAGATCACGATAAATGAAGTCGAACACAACCAGACATATATTCATGTTCCATTGTTCCGGCGAATTAACAAACTGAGTTGCAGATTACTTTGCATAATTCTCAATTGGTGGTGAGCTCTGTGTTGCGAGGGTTTCGAGTCGAAAACGAAGTTAAATCCACTTGCAAATTTTGCCGTATTGAGTTTCTTTTCCTTAACGAAAACATCTTTCCATATTCTCTTCTGAAACTCCTGTTTAGGAAACCGTATATAAAAGGATTAATGGCTCCTGACAAATTTCCCAGAATTAGGTAAAAAACATAGACCTGTCTCGGAAGAGACACTTCACCCCGGAACGTGTCTACAAAATTTATGACCGCAATCGGTGTCCAACAGGCCAAAAATCCTATCACGGTGATGAACAGAATCTTTGTAACTCTGATATCTGCATGAGTTATGTTGTCCACAGCCATAGCACACGATCGCAAATTTTGAACTGTTCTCCGGTGAATACGCATTTGTCTGAAGACAAGAGCATAGCATATGCTTAAAGTGAAAGTAGGCACGCCGACGTAGAAATACAAGATGAAGTTTGGAAGGGAAATCTCACCTGTCTGAAAGCAAAACAACTTTCCGGGATGAAAGACATAACGTCGACCCGAAAGTAAATAAGGTAATGGTTCCAAGCAAGCTAGGCCGACTCCAAATGCTATCATAGTTAAGGTTTTCCACTTTGTAAAAATTTGCCGATAATGTTTCGTTAGGACCATTCGGTAAAATCGATTGATCGCAGTCAGGGTTAAGGTTAGCAAAGAGGCGCAAGCTAAAATTATGACGAAAAATCCTTGACTTTGGCAAACGCTATCATTAAATGGCCAGTAACCAACGATGGCAACAGCTATAGAATACGGAGCACACAGTAAAGGTAAAAGAATATCAGAGATCGCCAGAGACACAATGAAGTAGTTAGGAATCGTTCGCAGTCTTGAGTTTCTGTACACTGCCAGAAGAACACAGGAGTTTCCAACGACTGCCACCGAAATTGTTAAATATCACAACCTTCTGATCTCGGTTTAGAAGTTCTTTTGCCAAGTTTTCGATTCCTTTCAGCCGCATCGTCGTCCTCTAACACAGGAAGAAAATTCTGTTTAACGATGACTGTGATTGATGGACACCAACTAGCTTTAGGCTCGCACTTAAGCTAGCATCTAATGACGAAAAGTGGCATGAAACAGTATGAGAAACGTTTTGGAACGTTGCCCACCGCACTTCCTTTGTCCATTTCGCTTTCGTAACACTTTCTGCTTACGTAAATCCCTTCCCTTCACGATCTCGCGAGGCTCTCGCTCCGTCTGCATTGGGAAGGTTTCACGGTTCCCTATCTTCGGCTACTGCAGATAGCACAAGCCTCGCAATCGGCCATGATCATCCTCGCCACATACGATAATTTTTAGAGTCAGGTTGTCTTTTCCCCATTTGAACCACTGAAAGTAACTTTTGAAATAGCAGGGACTCGAGATTTTATCCGATGTAAAATTACGGAGACACACAGCACGGCTCAAGCCGCATCTGGGGATGCGCCCCTTTCATTACCTGGCCGTTGGAGGTCTGCGTACGAGATAAAAGGGAGTTTAAGACATCTGTCGGAAAAGGATACTCTGTTGGAACGTTAAGGGTTATAAACAACTGAAAACATGCTGACGAGGAGGCACTGGAAACCATAGTGAGGAAAGCTTTCTTTATAATTTTAGTTTTAATATACGACCGCTTTGCAGCTACAACTCTGAGTAATTTGTGAAATTACCTAAACGATACGCGCCTATAAGCCCAATGTGGAGTTTCTTTCTTTTATTTGGTGTAACTCTGAAAGTTGACGATCATTTGTCAAAGCAGACCTGAAGCAGACTTGGTCAATGTCAACTTTATCTGTGCGATATCAGGGATCGATAGCTGCACAGAAAGAAATTAAAAAAAAAAGAAGGCAAAAGGATGCAGCTTTAAAATCAGGGGTAACTTCTTAAGACAGAGGAAAATCTCTGAGATGTGATCCGTATGATAATAAAAGGTTAAAGGCACTTGAAAATCGAAAACAGATTGAAACAATAACCTAACTATATATTAATAATAATAATAAACATTTATATCGCGCAAATTCCATGTGAATATGTTCAAATGCGCGTTACAAACAAATATGAAAGAGCAAATTAACATAACATGATAAGAATCCCAACTGGCAGGAGGCGAACCAGTTGGCTATTTACAAAGCGTGCAGGAGTTGAGTTCGGGGCCACCGAAGACAAATCCATCCAGTGGTAGGGAGGAGGATTTGAACCCGGGGCCTCCGGCTTGCAAGTCCAGCGCCCTAACCACTAGGCCACGCTCGCCTCCAATATGCTATATGCTTGATTCAACCACACATTAATACGATAGCTAATCTTTCATACAATTTATGATAAAATGTTTATGATTAGGCCATTGACGAAAGATCTTGATATGGAACAGAACTGGAGGATTCATTCTGCTTCCTGTAACGGCAGTGTCCTTTATCTCGGCAAAACCCTATACCCAGAAAGACGATGCCGATACCCAAAACTAGCCCTGGCCACAAGAAGGAATGCATCAACTTCATGCCATCACTCTTCAAAACTCTTTTTGTAAAAGCTTCGTTGAGATTTTTGGGATTGTAGTAACAAGTGTACGTGTCGTTAACTCCACCATAATTAATCCAAAACACTGTCACATTTCCATCATTATTGACGTCGAGGCAGTCACACGGCTGAGTGCTGCACTAAAAATTTAAAAAATAAAAAATAATAAAAGGCATAAGTTTCTTGAAAAGTACAAAATAATTATCAGGAAGGTGGAGTTTGGGTCTAGGTTCGAAATGGTTCCCAGGACTTTCCGACGTTCTTCAGCCCAAATGCAAATGAAAAACAAAACTAGCTACTGAAATGACATGTGCAATGATATAACTCTTAAACAAAGGCGTTAAAAAAAAAAAAAGCGTTAGTTATGTGAAGTTCAGCGAAACTGATTTGATACCTATGTAAATAATGTCTTCATTCATTATCAGATCAAATTGTAGTGTTCCAACTGCGCATGCTCTTCTGTTATGGTTTTTTTTTTTCGGCGCGCTGTCATTGGTGCATTTTGACCTTCATCTTTGTTAAAAGCCACTTATTTAGAAGTGGCCCTTAGGCTGAATTACAATTATTATTCAAATATGAAGTGAAATATTGTCATTAACACGGACAATTGATGACTAATTCTGTTTGCTACCTTTGCGTGATCTTCCCAAATCAACGTGTTATTACGTATACATACATTTCCTGACACGAAGAACATTTCATGAAATCCCACCGTATTTTCAGATCTTACCTTATTTTTCTCCTTGTAACTATTTTCATACAGATAGGCTGTGTGCTCTTCACCGTTCTCGTACAAGGCAACTTCTATCAGAAGGCAAGGGTAGGACGACTTAGACGACATGAAAGAGGGCACGGTGTTCGTGCAACTACAATTCATCCTTTCGCTTGCTACTCCAGTGGATAAGACTCTACACTCGGACGTTTTCAGTTCCATGTCGTACACTGCGAAACGTGCAACTGTGAGACCAAGCACTATCGCGGCCACAACACTAATCAGCAACAAAAAAATCCCTAACCCTGTAAAATCAAGGCCAGTTATATGTTTTTGTGACCTCTCCGAGACCTTCTCGTGTTCCATTTTAAGCCTCAATTTCTTCAGCTTGAGCGCGTTGCAATGCAAGATTTCTGAATAGCTATGTAAGAAAAGAAAAGATATAAAAACCGTCGAAACTGTCAGATTGAACCAATCCCCGAAAACCGGAAAAGGAAACCACGATCAGAATAATTATTTCAAGTCACGTTTTGTCACGGCAGCTGCACTTAAAGCATGAATGATCACAATGCGTTCATGCTACAGATAGCCAGTTAGTATCAGGAGTAAAATAGGCTGCAAAAGTAAAAATTAAATTTACAACTAACCAAATAAATACCAAACAAGTAAAAAAAAAAAAGAAACAAATTGAAAACTTTTAAATACAAGAACAAAAGAACAAAGAAATGGCCCTAATGATGTCGGTGTTAACAAGAGTTTTAGGCGGTTTTCGGCTCCTCTTTTAATCACGATTTGGGTCAAAGATTTAGTTTTATAGTATTTGGAGACAAATTCGCTTCTACCCTCTTTTGATGACTTTCCAAAACTCCCCGATATTATCGGCCCTTCCTGACAGATTTGGTACCAGAAAAAACGTTCTCAGAACACTTAAGTTCCTTATGACGGCGAACATTAATGATATCAAAACACGGAAAATTATAGTGTTGCCCAAGTGTTTATTGTCTTCGATATGACGTCATTTAGGTCGACGTTCTCCTTTGGACGAGTAACTATCACGTACCATCAGTAATGTCATCCATTCATGAACCTTAGACAAGATAAGATGTTAAAAGATATAGCTATCCTTGAAATAAACCCAATTAATTATTTTTACCACTGCTACCATCTTCAATTGAGAGAAGTCTTTTTTTTAAGTTCATGAATAAACATCTAACTCTACTTTAAAAGGGTTATCAAGGGAATTGTACGGGAGAGTGAAGGGAAAACAGTGAAAGGTGGCACGTTTTAACAAAGAGATTCCTTGTTGCCGCGCGACTGTTCAGGAAAAGATGCGACAAGTAAAGTGATATGACGTCAAAATGCGGTAAGGACATGCAGGTGGCATACGAGGGGCAGCCGAGTGTGTCCATGATGTTCTTACCATGCATATTGCGCTAGAAATTAAGACAATCACAATCAATAAAAATTAGTACATCAACGGCAGTCTTTCCTGGAACTGGTTTTATTACATCAAGTTAACAGTAGCAACGAAATTCACAACTATCAGTATACTTAGTGATCACGTAAAAACGTTTGATTTTTAAAAGAAATCTGGTCTCCCACGCAAAAACAATCAAACTAACAAACAACATCAACAACAAACATATCAACAAAAAAGCCAACCTAGAGTAAAAAATAATAATTTCCTTTTCCTCTAAGGCAGCTGGAGAGGATTGCGTCTTTTCATCCCAAAAATGACAAATACCCTTAGCTTGCTGAAATATTTATCAAATTGTCGATCACACTGAAATTCTAAGGAAGCGATGTAAACAGCGGCAGCTTTACTTTCTGATCAGAATTCCTTTTTCGTAGAGCAACGTGACCAGGTCAATCTGAAGAACGAAAAAAAGGCAAAACACGAGAAAAAGAATATCAATAAAGGTGTGAGCTAAGTAGCAAATTGAAATGTTCAAATGTAAACTGCAAGGAAAAGAGGAGAAAATTTTAAATTTACCTTGTAATTCGTATCATCATGAGGCAGGTCTTTCACTGCAATGTAATCAGGGTAACTCTGTAGAATGCTCTCTATTATTGGACCAGCCTGAAAAGCAAAGTGCGTAACAAAAGAACAAATAATAATAATGATACTAATAGCTAAATAGAGCAATTTTCAAAAGAGTGTCGAAAGTAATCCAGGATTGCCTTGGTTTTGTTTTACTTCCCGCTGTAACTGGTCCAGAAAACTCGCGCCACTTTCTAAACCAATCAGATGTATAACTAAAACCAAGCAGCCCGCGTTTTCCCGTTTTCCCGTTTTCAGAAAACTCGCGCCACTTTCTCAACCAATCAGATGTAAAACTAAAACCAAGCAGCCCGCGTTTTCCCGCGCTTCAGGTAGTATGGGTGTTTTTACTTTGAGTTTTCATTGGCTCTTAAAGGTATGTTCCTTTCATCTAACTGGCTGTTGTGATTACTTTGGTTTTGATTTTAACGACACCCAACCAAAAAGCGTTCCAACAATGATAACTTTAACACAAGCAGCACGGCACGGTGCTTTGAAAACATATGCCTTTCTTGGTCAAGCTCAATCAACTGAGTAGCTGAAACTGGAAAAAACTTAAGGTCGAAAGTAAAAAGTTTTGCTTTTCCGGACTTTGACCTCCTCCTCCAAATTTTCACGGATTCAATAAAACTTTCCTTGTAAATATTGTATTACTCGTGTTACACGAACTGTTTCTTTCTTTTTGCATACCCGGTCTTTGACTGCTGTGTTGATGCTGTGTTGACAGAAGTAAGCATACACTTGAAATTATTACCTCTAAACCAAACTCCAAGCTGTCTAACTCAGTCTCGTGATAGACTCTAGAATTCTGTTGTGTGTGGTAAACATGCACGACTTCACCTTCGACAACTAACCTACAAGAAAATGACAATTTCCAATCCTAAATTAAATTTGCATGTTTTGTTTTGTTTTGTTTTTTAAGGGAAGGAAGAGTTGTTTTGAAGACAACTGAGGAACTGCCTAGTCAGCAACGCATTCTATCCACAGGCCGGAAATCGTGAAATCTCGAATTAGCACGTACACTCTGGGCGCCTCATTTCAAATTAACCCTGTCACTCCCAAGATCTCATTAGCAATTCTCTTTACTGTGTACCGTACAGTTCTCATGCTGTCAGTTTGAAGAATTTGGTACTGGATCGGCAAATAATCGCTAACTGATATTTTTCCATACTCTCATCACTTGTGTCCTTGATACTGTATTGATATAGTTAGGAGAAATCTTTTTTTGGTCACTCGTGTGAAATTAAAAGGGTTACAGTAAGGACGGGAGATCCTACCTTGCCACTCCCTTTCGTATCAGCCTGACTTCTGTTTCCTCGTTGATAGAAACTTTGCCAATAATCTTTCCTTCTTTCCACGAAGAATCACTGCCAAAGACACTTTTCTTTGTTTCTTCTATAATAGAACGATAAGCCTCTTTCACTTCATCAACTTCTAAATAAATCTCTCGGTCGTCTATCAAACACCTGTCAGTCTACTGTCGGCCCTCTGCCGACCAGCCGTCGGTCCACTTTCGGCCGACAGCCGACAGCCGACAGTTAGCCGTTTACATTACAGCAGTTTTTAAGCAGTGAAATCTTTAAGTACCTTATAATAGAACGATAAGCCTCTTTCACTTCATCAGCTTCTGAATAAATCTCTCGGTCGCCTGTCAAACACCTGTCAGTCTACTGTCGGCCCTCTGCCGACCAGCCGTCGGTCCACTTTCGGCCGACAGCCGACAGTTAGCCGTTTACAGTACAGCAGTTTCAAGCAGTCAAATCTTTATATATATATATATATATTTATGAAAGAAAAATAGTGAAAATCTTCAGATTTAATAACTCTAGTTCACTCACCTTCAGTTAAAACTGGAGGCAAAGAATCTCGAAGGACTCCCACTGCAAACTGGCCACAACAACAGAAATTTTTAGAAAAAGGAGAAGGATAGACAAAGGAATACCATTTAATCCTTTCACTCACAAGATCCCATCAGTAGTTTCTCCCATTGTCTGCTATACAATCCTTATGATGTTAGTTCTGAGACTTTGGTATTGGATCAACTACTCATCCTCTAATTGATATTTTTCTATATTCTCATCATATGTCTGCTTGATATTATATTAATACTGTAAGGAGAAATTCTGTCTTGACCACATATGGGAGTTAAAATGTGAACAAAATATTGACCAAAAAAATGTCTGCAGTTAAACATTTTACCTGGTCGACAGCTGCATCAACTGGAGCATGTGACACCAATTTCATCATAAGTTTTTCCACCTTCTTCAGGAAATCTGACCTCTCTTTGGTGTTCTTACAGAAAAAAGGCATCATTTCATGATCAAAAGTGGTGAAATAAAGAAATTCCTTGTTCATTCATGCTGGAAGAGGTACCAGTGCAAAAAAAATGATGTTTGAACAGTCAAGGCTTTCCTTATTGTCTTCAACCTTAAATCAGAATATTAACTAAAGCAATTGCTTGCCAGAAAAGATCCCTGCTACACAGCCTAATACCAATGGAAACACAGTTTTACTTCACAAAGTATATAACACACAGTCTGACTTAAAAAGAACATAGTAATTACTAATAAGAGCAAAGTTTGTTTGTGTATTTGTTGATTGAAGTTTTAATTTATGCCTTTTTCTTCAATTCTTACCATGGGAACTCACCGATTCTGAATTTGCCACACCCATATAGTCAAGATAATTAAGTGGCAATCCTTGACGGAATTCACGATCCTCTTCAAATGCAACCTGCAGAGCACCTGGAATTAACTGTAAATTTGAATATTCAAATAAAATTGAGAATGAAACATGGAAAAGCATAAACAAATAAAGTAAATTTTTCTACATAAATTAAAAAAAATGAGCAGTCCATCCTTTTCCCAAGGAATCTGTTGGGGAGCAAAAAAAATTCAGCAAAAACAAAAATTATGTTGTGTGCCATGCAGAACTATAGGAGTAAGGCAGCTTCTGTTCATGCACCTCACAATGTTCCCCAGTGCACTCTAACATCAATTTTTTGCTTTTGCTTATTTGTTTTCACTTGCGCAAAGGACTTTGCCAAATATGAGGGACTGCTCAAAGTCTACAAAAAATACAGGTAGTTCACCTTTTCCATAAAATCCATCCAGGAGGTCTTTTGATAAGTGGACAGAGTGATATGTAAAGAATGTGTATCACTTGGTGTATCTGCCTAAATGTGATAAAATAATAACAAATTGGATAATTACTATTCCAGTTCCTACACTTAACTGGTGTTTTTATTAACAATTACAAGAGACAGTCTACTGTCCTGAAATATGAAACTTCTTAACCCTTTAACTCCCATGGGTGATCAAGACAGAATTTCTCCTTACAACATCAATACAATGTCAACCAGATATGTGATGAGAATAAAGGAAAAAAATATCAATTTGGGGATAATTAGTTGATCCAATACTAAATTCTTGTGACTACCATTATACAAACTGTATGGTTGAATGTAAGGAGAATTACAAATTTGATCTGGGAGCTAAAAGGTTAAACACACATGTTCACACATCAGGGTAGGTAAATTACAAGAACTGAAATATTAAAATTAGGTATTTCTCACTAGTGACAGCATTAGAGAGGAGAGGAAGGGGTAGGTCATGAAGTGCCTGTGATCCCTAGGTTGATATGAAAAGGCGATAATTTCTAACCATATTTAGTAATCTGGTATATTTCCTTTGGAGATTTCCATTCCAGTGGTATCTTTCCCTGCCCACTCCTTGCATGTATGTTTGTATGTAGAGTTAATTGACCACTCCCCCAGTGTGCTTTTCAGAGCCAATATAAATTTAAAAATCCCAACTGGCAGGAGGCAGACAAGTTATATACATTGTACAAAGCACAGTAAAGGAGATGAACTTGTGGCAAACAAGAACAAATCCAATGCATAGTAGGGTGGAGGGCTTGAACCCGAGGCAACTGGATTACAAGCTCAGTACCTTTACCACCCAGCCACACTGCCTCCTTCACAGAAGTTGTCCGGCTTGGTCATGTGACAAACTCTTTACCCACCAAACAAAAAAAAAAATTTTAAAAATGCATGAAAAAATTATAGCCCCTGGTAATAAATTACAGAAGGAACCTGTTCTAAAGGTTGAAAGAATACAGGTTCAACTATTGGTTGACTTTGGGGCACCTCATGAAAGAAAATTACTAACCTGATGGATTGTCCCTCTTGGGAAGTAGAGGACATCACCAGCAACAAGCTCTGTATCAAGAATGGGTTCACCAATTTCTTCTTGTGTAAAGTTTTCTGCCAAAGGATTCAAATTTGTGTTGTGTAAAAAGAAAACATACTGATAGTCATTCAAGAAATTAAAAATGAAAGTTTTCAGACTATACAAGGAGTACCGGTACATGTATACCATAAATAAGTATTTTTAACCATTAACAAGTTAAAAAATAAATAATAAAAACAGCTAGGAAATTTAATTTTCAGGGTTTTTTCATTTTGATAGTGGTAGGATGAAAAGGCAGTAACAGTTTTACAACTTTTAATCTTTTAACCTCTTATGGTGATCACCAACTATAGCAGCTCTTGATTATTAAACAAATTCTCTTTGTCAGCACCTTGGGAAATGTATAGTGAATAGTATGGAGAATATGGATACTGATGTCAGGGTTAAAGAGTTAACATAGCCTGACCAATTTAAACTGAAATATTTTTTGGAATCTCTTTTTTCTAGGTTACTCATATCTATTGTACATGGAAGGTAACCTCATCATTTTTATCAATCCCTGAAGTGTCTGACATCTAATTTATCCTAACAGTAACATCCTTGAATCAAATGCATAAGTCATGAAAATGAAGGAAATGTTCGCAGATTTAAGGAGCTCCTGATTGTTGAACAAATTCTCCTTGTAAGCTCTATAGGAAATGCATGGAGAGCAGTAAAGAGAATATGCATACTGATGTTAAGGAGTAAAGGGGTAATTGATTAATTCCAGCCGATTGATGGCAAGACTGATCGATTGATGGCAAGACTGATTGATTGATTAGTTGACTGACCTTTGTGTAACCTACATGTCCTCACATGTAATTAAGTACTTCCCTACAATAACAAAAATGTAAAATATACAAATCTTTTTTACATGAAAATGCAAGACTTACCACTAGAGTACCTTGGTAAGGCTTCAGCATCACATCTGGAAAAAACAAAAATATCAACATGGAAGATGAAAGAAACAAATCTTTCTAAATCAAACTACAAAGTTAGAAAGAAGAAAATTACTATTCAAATCACAAAAGGCATGTGTACCATAAAATCAGTCTTCTGTCTTTGAATGTTCTTTAGTACCGGTAGTTCTCAGCTCTATAGTTCATTTACATGTACCTTGGATTATAAAGTCTCCAGTGTTTCTTCCCCTCAAGTTGCACAACAAAGGCCTCAATGTCATCATAATGTGGGGCAAAGCCTTGAGAGCCAGCTGGAGTTAGATAACTAAAGTAAAAATAAACACAGTTTTGATTTAATATTAACCCTTTAACTTCCACCTGAGTGATAAACATGTAACTTCTCCAAATAATAATAGTGGAGGTGTGGTGGCCTCATGGTGAGTGTGCTCGACTCCGGATCGAGTGGTCTAGGTTCAAACTCTGGCCTTGGTCATTGTGTTGTGTTCTTAGGCAAGACACTTTACTCTCAAAGTGCTTCTCTTCACCCAGGTGTACAAATGGGTACCAGAAAAAATGAGGGGAGTAACCCTGCAATGGACTAGCATCCCATCCAGGGGGGGGGGGTAGCAATACTCCTGGCCGCTTCATGCTAATGAAACTGGAGTTAAGCATCGGCCCCATTGGCCACTTGGGCCTGTATAAAGGCTTTACTATTTTTTTTTGTCCCAATAATATCCATAAATCATCAGAACACAGGTAAAGAGAAAACTCCAATTTGATCTAACACCAAGTTTTCACAACAAATATTGAATCTTTCCCTATTCTCTGCAAGACATGCAGCTACATGTTGTATGCCAAATGACTTTCATACAAGCATAGTCTCACACTTTTTACGATTATACTAAGGTAAAATGCGTCTTCATTTCATTCACATGTAGAATGGAAGAGTTATTTGTTATCAATAAAAAAACATTTAGAAACAGCAGCTTACACGTTGGCACCAACCAGACAACCAAAATACTCCTGTAGAAGGGAAGTCAACTTCCACACTGACTGTGAAAAAGCTTGAGGATTGAGGAAACGAACAGAACAGCCATTCTAAAAAGAAAAAAATGATCCACCTCCAATTTAAAATAAAATTCAACAAAATAGAGATAACCAGTTACTTTGTAGTAAGAAATGTCATACTATACTAGAATGATAAATAGAAGGCTTTCTGAAAATTAAAAAGAAATACATAATTATGCTGCACTAATAATTTTAATTAGAGAAATGATTTTAATGATAATGAGGAAAATACATTAATAACGGTAATAATAATACTAACAATAACAATAATAATAATTGTAGAAATAGTTATAATAATTCAAATAGCAGTCCACTCTCAGATGGTTTAGGAAAGGCTCTCCACACATTTTTTATCACTTCAAACAACAAACTTCAATAAGTAATATTCTAGGCCACAAAAGACTTAAAATTCAAGTAAAATTTTAATAGTATTATAAATTAAAGGAAAACATCGCATTGGCCATACAAAATAATTGATTTTTGAATGGGGACAATAAAAGTGAAAATAATCTCAGAAATTTTTAAAATGATTCATTCTTTCACTCCCAGGTTAAATGTGATTAAAAAGGAAATTCTCCCTACATTATCAATACATTTCAAAGCAGAAAGATAACATATCAACTAAGGGCTACTGTTCCATTGAAAAGCAACTTCTCTATGCTATAATTAAAAAAGATGTATAGCTTACAGTGTGAAGAATTAATCTTTTGATCTTTATACCTCATAATAATCCCATACTACTGGAGCATGAGCTCTCCCTGAAGGATTGTGGGTCTCTCGTTGTCCATTTTTGTAAGATGTCACATCCAGATTGGTTGAGAATAGAACTCGATGCTGAAAATGGTATTTCAAAAAAAAAGAGAGATTATTTCACAAGAGACACATTACCATAAAAAATTTTTAGATTATTCAAACAGCATCTGATTGAATCATAGTTCTGTATTCAAATCACAATGCTAGGGGTACCAAGTATGATAAACTCTGCTCTCAAGACCAGAGTTCCACACTGCTAAGGTTATCATGGTTTTTGTAGCATGCAGGTGACAAAGGATATTTCTACCTCCCCTGGATAGGATGTTAGTTCACTGCAGATTACCCCCCCCCCCCTTCTGCCCTAAATGGAAGTTTCCTTGTATCCTATCTGGTGTCTGCTGATACTCATGAGGAGTAGGAAGAAACAATGGTTGAGTAAAGTCTCTTGTTCAAGAACAGAACACAATGACTTGGCCTGCAACCCTGAGGGCTCCTTAAACAAAATTAATCACCCACATGGGTGGATCCTCCCCTAGTTCTCAAAGCATAAAATGATTTTAAGTTTTGATTCTTCCCCTGGATGTGATGCTAATACTTGCAGGTTACCCCTCTCTCTACCCCCAACAGATTGTGAATTTCCTATTCAGCTATCAGGTACCTAATCTTCTTGTGGATAGAGAGACACACACTGTGAGTTTCTACCTTTGTCTTTCCTAAGAACTCAACACCATGACCCAGCCAGAACTTGAACCCTGAACTTTTAATCTAAAATCCAGTGCATAAAGCATTTGGTTAATCCTACACCCCTATGGGTGACAATCATTTAATTTTTCCTCACAGTATCATCACTGAATCAAACATTAAGGTATCAAGAAGAAAAGGAATAATAATCAGCTTAAGACATTCTTGATCGTTGAACATATTCTCCCCATAATTATCATAGGGAACATATAGACAACAGTGCAGAGAATATGCACAATGATGTTAGGGTGTAAAGGCCTAATGTGTCTCAGTCAGTATCATGCATTTTTAGTTGAATTTCATCACCAAAACTTAGGCAATGCGTTTCCTATAAGGATGGCAAAACTAATAAAATGCTGACATGTACCTCTCTAAGAATAGTATCTAATTCGCTTGTGCTGAACCAGCCATCATTATAGGTTAGATGATGTCTCTTGATCAACAGGGGTTTCTGTTCCCATACGTCACTACACAAAAAGAAAAGATTAATTGTTAATATATCTACCTAAATGAGTGTGTTTGGTGGAGAGGTGTTTGTGCTCACACTTGACTTCTGAGGAGTTCAGAATATTTCAGCTTCTCTGAAGAAAAATCTAGATTCCATAGGAATTACAATCCACCATCCTA